ACATTTGCATCTGGCTCCACTGGAGCGCGGTGCAGCAAGGCACAACTGACTATGTGAATGAGTGATTCTTCTTTTTTGAGAGGGGTTAGAATACAAATATATACTGAAGTTTTGTTTTAAAAAATGAAAATAGAGATTGGGTGCTATTTCTATTCAGTTACCAAGCGACACGGGTTGAGAATGGTACTATTCCCATGGTGTCGACGTGCTCACGTAGAGTTGTCTACGGTCAAGTAAAGGATTGATTCCTACGTTCTAGCTTTTAAAGGCTAAGTTAATATATACATGTGTAAAATTATGAGTGTAGGTGTTACATTTGAAAAAAAAAGATATTATTGCATATGCATTATGTCTGAGGATGTATAGCATATGTTCTTTTCTGAAAGCTTGTACACATTTGTACATTTGTATGAATAAGTAGTTGGTCTGTACGTATACATATATATATTAATATATATATATGTATGTATATATATAAAAGAGAGAGATTTTTATTGCCTAAGATGGAATATATTCTAAATATCTTACAACTGCAGAATGGACATTGTGGACCAGTGTTCTTTTGTGATGCTTATAAGTGTATTTGGTTGTCATACAAATGCATTTATAATAAAGTGCACTTAATGCTGCTGATGTATTTGTGTCGTCACAGTCAAGCCCCCTGTTCCTCTGCCGCCTCATCGTCACCACCACCATCATCATCTTCCTACCATCCCTGCCTCCTTCCCTCCCACCCTTACACTCTCTCCTCCATTTCTTCCCCCTGGAGCGAGTTTCGCTCAGCAACAGCACTGACGCACACACATGACGAGACAGAATGAGACACTATCTGACTCAGACTGACGCACATACTTGGCATCCAGTTATTTTTTTCCCTTTTCTCTCCTGCTTGTGAGCACATGCAGGCAAGAACACACCTCCCACTTACGGTGATGTGCGTCCAATAGTAGGCAAACGACCCCTCCCCACCCCTTTTTTTTTTTTTAAACACCATATTCTGTAAATTCACCTCCCACCCCCTCCGCCCCGCGGGGTGGG